TTCAAATAAATAGATTCATTCTTATCAAATATTCATATTTCAGTAGATTTCCTCAACTCTTTTTTTCTTTAATGAATTGTTTATGAAACAGTCTTGTGATTTCAAATGTGCAAAGTTGCACACAGAACATGGAAAGTATTCCATTTTGTGACTTTTTTTTTTTTCCCTTAGGAGTGAGGAGTGTGTCCATAGTTCCTGAGCACCCGTTTCTGATGGATTCCACCTAATGCATTTAATAATGCTAAAAATATAATTGGAGGAGGGAGGGATGTGTGGAAGGCAGGGGTTTTGCCAGTCCCACTCCATGCTGTTCTCACATATCTCTAGTAGTGTAAAAACCAGCATAGATCAAAGAACCGAAGTGACTCAAACAGTAGACCAGTTATGGGATCTTAAAACATTTATCTGTTACAATATCTTCTGGGAAAGTTTAGTCCTTGAATGAAATTTTTACTGCTTGTTACATGTAGTGAAGGGCGAAAGGCACTGCTGCATCCTTGGAAACAACTTAGCCATATTCATTAGACAGTGCAAAGGCGATCTAAGCACAGAATCGCTATGTTTCTCTAGAGAAAAGGCGGGATCTAACATAGCCTCCAGGAGACTTTTAATTCAGAGGCACAAACAGTTTGATGGCCATTAAACATAACAGCTGGCAACACAAGGAGCCAAGAAGGAATGTGGAGCCAAGGAGTAATATTTCTGTCTTCCTGGGATGAAGTGTGAGAGAGTTCACTGATACTCCACATTGGATATCCAACAGATAGCATCAGCAACTGAGACACTAATAGAGTCACCCTCTGTGTCTTCAGTGTAACAGTGATGGAAAGTGAGCTTTTTTGTGTTATCAGCTGGCAGAAGTAATGCCAACTGTGGAGCAGTGATGCTGGGAGCAACAGCAAGGTTAGCAGAAGAATAATAATTGGGGTTTACATCCTGAACCAGCTCCTGTTTAGGGACAAGGAAAGGGGATCCTGCTGTACCTTGTGATGATTTGGTCATTTTAAACAAAGCTGTGGTTCTTAGGGATTAGTAGGCTAATCTGTCAGAGCTTCTTTTTTCATTCCAGCATCAGATTTTGGTGACTGTCAATCACTATTTGGACCCTAAATCTGGTATAAGCCTTTGCACATTATCCTGCTGGTTTTAACAGTGAAAATAAACTGAAGGTTATAAAAAGGCAGAGAAGCTGGTATTTTAAAAATTGCCCAGGTTGGTTTCCAAGCATGGTCTTCACCTATATAGGTGAAGAGCTAGGTTGTCTGCCTTGAGGCTATATACAAGATTTCAGGTTTCAGTGATGGCAGTAACAAAAATAATGCAGGATTATGGTTATTCTGTAGTCTCATCCAGAACTTCAGAGAAGGATGTTTTGGAAGCAAAGTTCAAGGATTTTCTGGATCCACCCCTCATTTAGTCCGAGTCTGCTTTACACCACTAAGACGCTGTAAAGTAGAGTTTAAAAATGGGATAAATTATGCTTTTGCTCACTATAATGGCCTTTTGCACTACCAGAGAGGTGTCAAGAGGCCTTAGGACAAATAAGAAAGAGTTTTATCTACTTTTTTTTCTTCCTTGGTCTGTGTACTCAAAATGCTGATGAACACTGAAGAGAAGCCCACACCTCCATCAAGAGGACACCCATTTTATGTTTTATATGTTTGATATCTTTTTCCTCTTTTTTTTTCTTAGGTGCAACAATTAGTCCTGGAAAGGAAGAGGTGAAGATAAATGTTGGTGGGGAGCTCTGCAGCATTTGAAAACACTCTGCAGTACAGTCTTGGAGTATATCACTTACAGTTGACCTCTGATGCAGGAAGAGTCCTGCTGCTCCTGGGGGAAAAAATATCTTGGGAAGGCAGTTACCTACAAGTATGAGCATGGGCAGATATACATGTGTGCATCTGAGTGCACGTGTGCATGGTGGATATGTCTAATGCTGAAACCTTCACATATAAAAAATGTAAAACGTGACATCTCATAATATTTTCATATTGGGTAACTACAGAGAATATTTTGGCAATGGTGCTTAATCTAAAATGTTCAATTTTAATCAGCTTGAACTATGGTCTGTCTTTCTGTGAACTGAAAACCACCAATCAATTTTCCTTTATCTTTTTTCTGTTTTTCTTACCCAAGGCAATGCCTTTTGTAAAAGGGTATTTATTTTTAATGGATTTTTTAATGAATTTTTCAGTCAAGCTATTAATAATGCCATTAATTATAGGCAGCTTGTATTAAAGTGCATGCTGGCCTCTTAATCCTGACCCCCAGCTATTGGCTTGCAGCTAATCCAGCCCGGTGCTTGGCAGCGGTGCCGGCCGCAGCCTGTAGCTGCTTGGGAACAGGGGGAAGACGGGACTAAAGGATAAGGAGGTTTGGGGAGGAGATAGGGAGGGGGAAGCAGCATTTTGAGTATATACTTTGCCAGAGGGGGTGAAGTTTAAAGCCAGATGATATGTTAGTGCAGTGGGGATAATCCTGGAGATGCGGTGCCAGCACTTGGGAGGACCTTCCCCGGCGGAAGGCTTTGCTCTGCCTGAAAGCCCTGGCCGGTTTGATAACCCCCAGGAGCCCCGCGCCAGTTTACCTGGGGCGGTTGTGCGAGACGGCCGCCCCACTTCAATCTGCTTAAAAGATCGGGCAGACAGAAGGCCCCAGCTACATAATAGATCCCTTTCCCTTCCCCAGGCTGCTCATCTGACATGATTGTTGCAAAACTTGCTAATTATCGGCTGGTTGAAACATAATGAAGGGGCCCCATCCTGTGCAGTCAGAGGAAAGAAACTCCAGTCATTAGGAGCGGGACCAAATCCAAAGAGTTTCCATCCTTTGTGCATGAGTGCACATCTCTGCATTTTGTTTTCTGGGGCAACTGAAGGTGTTAGAGAGATCTTAGAATTCATCATTTTGCACCCATGAAGTTTTGACCCTTTTTTTTATATATAAATATCTTTCTTTTATTCCTTGCTGAATTTTGTTTGCTTTTCTTTGTTTGTTTTGTAATTTCTGTCTACACATTTTAGAGAAAACAAAACCAAGGATAGATACATTATTCCCATTTTAAATGTTTGTGGGACAAAGGGTGGTGCATTTGTCCTGTTGTAGAGCTGTCTCTGGGCTACTCTCCAGGTCTGTGGGATTCAAGTTCAACATTCAAAAGCTCAAGGAGGAAAAATCCTTTCTGTTGAAGATCAGGCACCCATAGAGATGTTAATCTGATATTTTATGGTAATTAATTTGAACATTTCAATGAGTGTTTTGGCACTTGGATTTCTTAATATCTCTCAAAATGCAACAATGCAGGGTGTGAGGCAGCTCCTGTCCAAAGAAACAGAAAACTTGGACATGAAGGAAGCTGGGACACTCTGGGGAGAAAATTAGCCAAAGATTTATGTTCTTTATGGTTTTAGGTTTCCCTCTTTTTTTTCTTTGTTTTATTTCTTGCAATCATTTCAGAAATACATTTTATTAAGATTTTTCTATGTTTTGGGGGGTCCACTACTCCAGCTGAAGCATTGACCATATCACAATATCTTTTGTAAAACACAGATTAAGAATATGCAAATGTGCCCCAGAGCAATAGCATGCATTAGAGGATGCACCCACATTGCCAGAGAGAAAAGGCCAATCACAGACAATTAAATTAAAAATACTAAGAACTAGTCAAGCTTTTTTTTGTTACTTAAAAAATATAGTTTGGTTTGGTTTGGTTTTGTTGTTTTGGGGTGTTTTTTTCAATCTGTGTGAGGATATTTGAGATTTGCCTAGTGGAAGAAGAATTGAGACAATTGTAAGGTCTTTATAAAGTTGGTCAAAAGAAAACCAAAAGAAGTATAAAAATTACTTCAACAACACTTTTCTTTTATTTTTTACCTTTATTCTTTAATAAAACACTGCACAAGGTAAACACAACCAATCTATTTTTGCTATTTTTGTTATTTTCATGTGCTTTCTGGTTTTGTGCTTGTTGTTTTGTTGGTTTTTTTTTTAAATCAGAGCAGAAGATACATAAGTACAAGAAACTAGTAAGGACCTCAGGCCCTTTTACAACCCAGTAGGTCAGCTTTCAAATCCAAGAGAACAGCTTGGATAGCTGGGATGATATCAGCCATGTCCCTTTTCCCACAGTTAGCCCCTACACTGATATATTGGTACTGTCGAGCTCAGCAGTGGGTGTGTATTTAATTTTTATATGAATCATATTTTTTTTGAACATTTACTCAAAAGAGCTTCAGAAACTTTTGAGATTCACCTGTTGGTAGTATTCTGTATGCTTACCAGTTTTCAGGAAGATCAGAGTTTTTACACTTCTGAATGCAAGGGATATTAGCCTGTTATTTCCAAGATCAGATTGAAACTGAGTTTGATCAGACAAGAATGAATGAAAAACCATATGCTCTGGCAAGATAACTGTAAACATATCTAAGAAAAATTAGTATGATGGTCTCAGCAAGCTTTCCTGAGCAATGTGATTTTTGCCATCAGAAAGTTATAAATTACTTGGAAATTTGTTATGAGTTAAAAATGGCTTGGTTTGGTGCCAACGTTTGCTATCTTTCACCAAATACACGCATACACATACATCTTTCTTAATAAAAGTGAGCACTGTGCTGGTTGTCAGTGGCTTTAAACTTCAGTTTGATCTTTTTCCACACTACTGAAGGTGCAATTTTCCTAATTTTTATAGAATAATAAAGGGAAAGGGAGAAAATGAAAATGGTTCAAATTAATTTTGGGTACATTTCTGCATAATGTAACTGGAAAGTTTCTCCCACAGGATTTCTCTCAGTTTGGGATTTTATTTTTCATTTTTTTCAATTCACACTAATTTAGTAAGCTATATAAGTGAGTGCCTAGCTTTAAGGGTAAAAGGAGTTACATGTGTGCTCAAGCTCTTGCTAAATTGGATCTTGATTAATTTTTGTAGATCTGTCTTATTTCTGGCATAGCTTGGGAAAGCTGTCAGTCCCTGCCCGGAATGGGAACCTGAAAGGCTTTCAGCACATTAGAGAGTTGTCTTTTCAGGTCAAAGCTGATACACAGTGAAAGAGAGAGAGGATTGCATTGTGCTTGCTTGACCTATGCAATATTTTATTTTTGGATAAACAGAACACTGCAGCTTCCAGGTTTTTTTCTGATCCATCAGTCTTCACAAAGGCTGCATTCAGCAAATAGGGGACACTTTCAATATGTGCTCTGTTTCTCTTTCTATCCATCTCACTCATTTCTTTTTGTAAATCTCCTTGTGAACTATATATGTTTAATTGCAGATCTCATTTGATTCCTTTATTTCTCCCTTCCTGGTTTATTAAATGAGAAAAAAATGAAAAAGGAAAATAAATAAAAATAAAAATGATCGCTATTGATTTTTCTCTACTTGACTCAGTGTAGGTCAAGGATTTATGCTCTTACACCAAAAACTGCCTTCTGACAGGAGCCGTTTAGCTGAAATCAAGCAGCTGGATCATGTAAATCTGTGTAACTCTATTAATTTAAACAGAGCTGCTCAGATTTATACCAGCTGAGGACTTGGCTTAGAGGAAAATCTTCTAAGAAAAAGTGTCTTCTAGCTGAGATAAACATTTTGGACCCTAACAGCAAATTCATTTTCTTTCTAAAGTCAGAGGTAATATAATGCAGCATCTGAGTTGCGGGATACTTTTCCCCTGTCATTTCAATAGGAGCCAACTTCCAGAAGACTGGATTACACAAGGGAAATGGGACAAAGCATCAAACATTGCTGATCATGCATCATTCTCACACTGGTCCTGGTTTCTCAGAAAAAGATAAAACATTCAGTATTTGCCAACTAGAATTCTTCCTGCTAATCATTTGCAGCCTCTTTGCTCTGACTGGCATGATTGCTCATGTCGTTCATAAGTTTTTCTCCACCCTGCCTGACTGATCTTTTGAAGAAGAGATCTAAAAACCTTTGGAAAATTAATCACTGGGAGTAAAAATGGTAAGAATTTACTACATAAGTGGCATGGAATAGTTTTCACCTGTGAATGCCAAAATGCTATGTAATTTTCAGGTAACTCCTACTGGTACACCATGAAGGGCAATGAGGTGCTGCCTATTTTCCTGGGAAAGTTCAATGCCTGAAATGCACTGGTCTGTGCTGAAATGTAGCAATGCCTCAGAGACAGGACAGGCATGGAAAGAAATGGGCCAGCATCTGGTAAATATAAATGTTGATTCTGGGGTTTCTGAGTTTCCATGTCAGCCACAGATCAGAACATTGGTGAAGCTATGCTGCATTTCTGCATACGCTCAAGAAGATACTACCCTGCAAAGTTGCAAGACAGTAGACAAAAAGCAAAACCTCTTTCAGAGATATGCTTTCACATGAGGTATAGTTGCAGTCTGATTTTCTGCTTTAATTACAATTGGAGTCAGTGATGTTTCACTTATATGTAGAAGATGCACATCTACATTAGAGGTAGATACCTAAAACTGGAAGAGTCTGAGCTTTACTTTCTGGTCTTGGCATGTTGTTGGCCTGTGATGTGGCACAGAATCCACATTTTTTCAGGATGTCATTTTTCTCCTTTATGTATGTTTGTACGGTACTACACATTTTTGTTACATACTATACACTATGAATCTCTGATCTATCAACTCCATAATTTTGTTACTAATTGCAAGCCCATATTCATAGAATCATAGGATCATAGAATGGCTTGGGTTGGAAGGAAACTTAAAGTACATGTAGTTCAAAACCTCCTACCATGGGCAGGGACACCTTCCATTAGACCAGGCTACTCAAAGCCCTGTCCAACCCGGCCTTCAACACTTCGAGGGATGGGGCAGCCACAGCTTCCCCAGGCAAACCTGTTCCAGTGTCTAACAGTAAAGAAGTTCTTTTTTTTATCTAATCTAAATCTCTCCTGTGATTCCATTCTGCAGTTAAAAAAGAAAAAAAAAAAAAAAAGAAGAAAATATCTGCTGTAAAATACCCTAAAATGGGGGGAGATGTCAAATATTGGCACATTAACAGCACATCACAGTCTCTGTGCCTCTACCAAGCCTGAAATAATTTGCAGGTTGAAAATCATTTCACTCTTACAACTGAGGGGAAAAAAATCCTCATTCATGTCTACAGAATAAGCTATTCAAGAGATAAAAAAATCAGAATAATTTGTTAAGGATTTTGACACTGTGCATGTCTAACCAAAGTCATCTCCTTCTGGTGCAGAAGATAAATGGCATTGAATCAAGATCTGATAGTGACTCAGTATTTGCTGTGCCTGTGACTGGAAATGACTCTTTCTGAGACTAAATTATCATGAAAAAGGGTTTAGCATAACAGAATATCTTCTCTCTTTCCTCTTTGCCTTTTTTTTATCTTTTCTTTTTTCCCCTTTTTCTAGTGAGGGCTTAAAAAAATAAGCAAGACCCAAATGACCAATAGAAATCACAAAGCAGTCATTTCTAGCATTAATGTGCAGAATACATCAGACTACTAAACTCTTTTTTTCCACAAATCTGCATGACGTTCACATCTTCTTGTGTGTTTGAAATGAAATCTGTCTGTGGAAAGTAACCAAATAAGAACAACACAAGGGCCTGGCAAGGACTTGTGGCATCACCAGAAATTAGGAATCATGTTTATTTTTGAGATCTGCAAGGTCTCAGGAAACATGGTGATAGGTGCTGCTTAGGTATATAACAACAGAGATTCCATTTCCCAGAGAATTCATGGCCTCCTGCAGGACATGAGTAGCTCTTTATTGAAGATTTTCTAATGGCAGATTTTCCTGTGGCTGCTCCTTTTCCAATATTTTTCCGCTGCAAACAATATGAAATTCCTCTTATATAAGCAATGCTCTGACTCTGGAAGTAATTACATATTTTTATAGCCAGGAAAAAACATTTGATTGTTGAATCTAATTTTCTGTGTAAAACAGGTGATAAAGTTTTACCTATTAACATCTGTTTTGAGCTAATTATCCATTTCTGGCTAAACCATATCCCTTGGTAAGCCATTCTTTCTCTATATGAAAATATAAAAAATGGAGGCATTCATGTCACCTTTTTGATGTTTGTTGTTGTGTCTTGGCTGTGTTAAGCACTGGTGCTCTATTTTTTTTATTCCCTTGTCTAACTTCAGTATCTTACTACTAGACCCCTCTAGTATTTTTCTTAGTTAAAAAAAAGGTTTGCTTAAAACCTAATACTTTATTTAAGAAACACAGATTCTAAAAGAAAATTATTGCAAACTTCTTTGCAGACAATTAGACAAAATGAGCCTCTTAAATATCTCATTGTAAGACTTTTCGCTGAACCATGTCCAATTTGTAGCATCCCTCTAAGAGGCAGACAGTGTAATGTTCTGTGAGGAGCAGCTACAGACTTTGGGTTTGCCCAATCTAAAAATGGCTGAGGGATGACCTCATTGCTCTCTACAGCTTTGTGATGGGGGGAAGTGAGGAAGAAGATGCTGAGCTCTTCTCCCTGGGATCCGTGTGGGAATGGTTCAGAGCTGCAGTAGGGAAGGTTTAAAATGGATATTAGGAAGCATTTCTTTACTGAGAGGGTGGTCAAAGTCTGGAACAGGCTTCCTAGAAAGGCAGATGATATCTCAAGCCTGTCAGTGTTTGAAAGGCAATATGCCCTTAACATGCTGTAAGTTTGGTCAGCCCTGAAAGTGGCCAGGCAGGCGGGCCAGATGACCTTTGAAGGTCCCTTCCAACTGAAATATTCTATTCTATTCTAAAGGTGGAAGGAGGCATGCATGGATGATCAAGGAACTTCTCAAAACTCAAGCACAAAAAAGAAGCATGCAAGAGATGGAAGCAGGGTCAGCAACTCAGGATAAGAGACACTGTCCAAGTGCAAGGACAGGGCTAATAAAGCAAAACCCTACCTAGAGTTGAATGTCATGTGTGATGTGAAGTGAAAGAAAAACTTCTACAGGCACATACGCAGCAAAAGGAAGACCAGAGAGAATGTTGGTTTGCTGCTGAATGGGGCAGGGGACCTGGTGACAACACAGGAAAAGATGAAGTACTCAATACCTTCTTAATTTGTCTTTACTACAAAGACTGGCCTTCATGAATCCCAGGTCTCCAACACCAGAGGAAAATTCCATAGCAAGGAAGACTCACCTTTGGCAGAAGAGGATAGGGTTAGGGACCATTTAAACAGACTGGCCAAGCACACCCGTAAGACCTGGTGGGATGCATCCATGAGTGTAGCTGGACAAGGTCATTTCAAGGACACTCGTATTTATCTTTGAGAGGTGACAGCAATTCGGGAAGCTTCTGGAGGATCAGGCAAATGTCACTCCTCTCTTCAAAAAAAGGGAAGAAGGAAAATCCTATGCACCTCGAAGGGGAAAAAAAAAAAAAAAGGTCCTAATTTCTTGAAAACTCCACCTCAGATAGCTGAAAACATCACTTAGAGTCCCATTTAGCTTTCTGTTATCCAAGCTGAACACAGTTCCCTCAGCATCTCTTCAAACATCTTTTCATGTTCCAGCTCTGTTAACTGCACTAACAGCCTTTCTTGGACTTTCTTCAGTTTTTCAGTCTCTCTTCTGCAAACAAGAGACACATTAGGCAGACTATTTAGATGCAGCGCATGAGAGCCAAGTGGGGGGAAATAATCCTTTCTTTTGACCTCCTGGCTACAGTCTTTTTGTGGCTGCAAGTCTACTTTTTAGATGGCTGCAGGCAGATGAGTTATACCTGCACAGACCTGGACATGGGTCAAATTCTATTTACCGTCATAGATAGAATAAACTTGGAATGGGTCCATTTGGCCACAGGGTGAGATACAGGGGATGGCACATCAACTTGTCAGTGTCAACTGTCTGTAGGCACGTTCTTCATCTGTGTCAATTATGCAGGTAATTTATGCCAGTTTAAACTTATTTCACTGGAAGGTAACATGATTCTCATTAGCTCAAATATGTCACGGGCTAAGAATGTGCATAGAAACTCCTACTGTGGCTCAGCTGACTTACAGCAACACTCTGTTCTGTATCTGAGTCCCAGTTTGGTATTTCTTAAGCCCAGGGAAAACAAAGGACATGAAAGAGCACCTCTGATATGTTGCAAACATTTCAGAAACAAACCCTGAAACAACTTCAGACACAGATTTCATTCTGAGCATCCTCAGTGGCAGCTGCTTTGATGAACTGATCCAAAATCCTGACCTCAGTCACTTACGACATGTGAATCCAGTTCCGAACTGGACTCTGCCTCTAATGTGTAAATTCACATCTGACTCAGCTATTAATATTTCAGGATCTGAATGAAGCTTGACCAGATTTTCTCTGATCTCTGCTTCATTGATATCTGCTGAAAAAGAGCTTCTTGTTTCCAAAAGCAACTTCTCTGTTTAAGACACAGCTTCTTTGCATGTACTATGTTATACAGCCATAAGAAAGCCTTCTGTGGAAATGAATACACTTTTCAAGATGAAAATTTGCTTACTTTTTAATAATAGAAGTGAAAAAAAAAAATTTAATTATTTTTCCCCTTACTGTCCTAAAAAGCGAATGTAATATGCAGAGGGAAAACCTGCTTGCATAGAGCAGACATATTTCTGGGCATCTACATAGCTAGCAGAGGGAGAATGTTCAATTAGTCTCTTTACCACAAGCTCCCCAGTTAGCCTCCCTCTGGAAAATAGGTGAGAAATTCTTATATTCCTCTCAATATGTTAATCAGACAACTGGTATCACAGTTCTCTAACTGTGTAATACCAGTCCCCCTTGGCAGATATATTTTATTTGGATAATGATGTGAAATTTAAGATCTACGTTTCAATTGTAGAGAGCCATAGGCAGTTGTCAATTTTAGTGACAGACATGAACCTGGAGCTAAATTCCTGTGCACAAGCAAAAATTCCAACAGGCGTAGCGCAATTCTGGTCCCTTAATAGAAATACGTTTTCTCCCATTGAGGGGCAGTATTTTTAAACTGTGCATTGCTTCCCCTGATGCTGGCAAATCACAAATCCTCTCAAATGCTTCCTTTTACTTGGACATTTTGGTGACCTCAGCTATCGAGCAGTCCGCTGAAAAATCTAGTAGTTACCTGCTTTTTCTGCTTAAAGTGCCCATTGTTTTGGTACCAAAGCACTACCATAAGAATCTCCTGCTTTTCTTTTCCATTGCTGAATAATTCTGCCTCATCATGTTCCTTTGAATCTCCAGTCTTCCTGGGTAGATGGTATGATTTTTAATGCACACTACACTCTTTCTTATTCACTTCAAAATGTCTTAAGTAAGTTATCTTCTGTGTCTAGTGCAGAGAAGGCTTTCCTTTAGCTAAAATCTTGAAGAGTTGATCAGGGTGGTTATTTAGACCTTTCATTCCTTTTTCTTACTAGCAACAGTAAAATAGAAAGCATCCTTTTCCTGCAAATATCAAACTGTGTGTATATAATTTTAGGGTTTTTTTCTTCTATTATTGGTATTATTTATTATTATTGCTGTTATTATTACTTATTATGATAAAAATTGTTGTTACTATCATTACTATTATTATGCAATATGTTTAAAGGGGATATTTTCAGTTAGCCAGAGTGAATTTTTTTTAAAACTTGTGGGTGCATCCAAAGCCTGAGGAAAACATGAGCTGCCTTCTATTAGTTTGTAAGTAGATCTAAAACTGCTGAAAGCTCTCCCCAGAGCTGTCAATCAAAAGAGGAACAATTTGAATAGCAGCAGCAGTAGCACAAAATTCCTCTATACTGTATCACAGTAGACAAGGGACAAGGTTAGGACTCAGGAGTAAGACTCTTTTAAATTTGATTTTTCAGCTTTGCCATAAAACCAAAAGAAAAAAAAATACTTGTATCAAGTTGATTTAAAGCTTTCTTTTTTTTTATTTTTTTCTCTAGATATCCAATTTTTAAAAAAATTGTATTTCTAACATTTTCAATAAAAGTTTTAAGTTTCTATTAAAAAATATTATTTGGATATTCAGTTTCTGACAACATATATTTAAGATGCTGTGGTCCTAGTTCCAGTTCTCTTATGTCATGAAGTCAGAACAGATGTAAACGGAAACTTTCAGCTCTAACAAGGTGCCCTAGTGAATATACCATGGAGACGCTAGGACTACTGCTTTCATCAAATCTATTTTGTTTCATAAAAAGTACTTAAGTACCCCTGGTGCCGGGACTGAAGCTGTCTTTCAGGTAGACCCCTCAAACACTGAAATGAGTAATTTGCACACTCTGTTTGGACAGAATCATATCTCCTGTGAAAATGAAACGCTTGAGCTGCAACAGCAGAGGGAAAGCTGCCTCAGCACAATATCTCAACTACAGCATTAGGAGATCAGATCCCATCTGTCACTTTAGAAGAAAATGAGACAATTAGAGTCTGAGATGGGAGCACACCTCTGGATATTATCTGGGACAACTCCTCTGCTCAGAGCAGGATCAGCTAGAATAGTTTTCCCATGACCGGGATTTTGTTTTCCAGTGATGAAGGCTCCACAACCACTCTAGGCACCCTGTTCCAGTGCTTGGTCAGCCTGACAGTATAAAGGGTGTTTCTAATGTTTAAGCAGAATGTTTTGTATTTCAGTTTGTGTCCATTGCCTCATGTCTTTTCACTGGATACATCTGAGAAGAATCTGGCTTTGTTGGGAAGAGCAACCCTAAGAAATTAGACATTAGGAAGAAAAATCTTTGCTATGATGGTAGTGAGGCCCTGGTACAGTTGCGCAGAGAAGCTGTGGCTGCCCCATCCCTGGCAGTGTTGAAGGCCAGGTTGGACAAGGCTTGGAGCACCCTGGTCTAGTGGAAGGTGTCCCTGTCCAGGGCAGGGGGATGGAACTACATAAGCTTTAAGGTCCTTTCCAACCTCTGTGATTCTGTTATTCTGTTATTCTATGATTCTAAGAATCTGTGATTCTATGATACTGAGACATCCTGATGCATACTGAATGATATATTCCCCCCTATTGTGTAGCTATACACACAGACAAGATCCCCCAGTCTCCTCAGTGCTGAAATGAATTACTCTAAGCATCCCCACAATCCTCACCTGAAACAAAACTCTAGAGCAAGCATTTCTGCAAGAGAGTGAGTGCAAAACTCTGGTCAAATTTCTTAGGTCTCACATAGACTCAAAGATTTAGGAGCAGATTTAGGCATCTGCTGTCTGTATGAACACCAGTTCCAACAGGTAGTTTGGAAGAAGTCAGATTCCTTTAAAAGTTAAAAGAAATAAATCATGTGATCAGAGCTAGATAGTGAACGTTGGTTCAGAATCTAGCACCATTTAGTTTACTAATATAGCTGTAGCTACTGATCACACGGGCCTTGGGTGCAGACATTTGCAGATGACTTAACCGTCTGAATTGCCTTTAGAGATGCAGGAGGGAAAAGGGTCCTTCCAGGATGCAGTTCATCTCATCCTGAGGCACAGTGCTAAAGCAGGTCAGATGGGTCAAGCCCTGGAAGTGTCTGCTTCTCTCTGTGACTATGAAGTGATTAAAGCAGACACAGCTGTCTACATTGTAGGCATCTGAAGTCAAGAGGGGAACAAGCACAGACCAGGTAAGCATGGTTGTGTCTGCTTTCACTCTTTAAAGACCCCAGGGACCAGTTATTGAGACATGCCCAGAACAAACACAGCCTTTATCATGAATGGTGAAACGCTCTGAGTCCATGCCACAGGCAAATGCCAGCCATGAGCGTATCTCCTTTCTGGGTGCCACGCTTAAAACTGACTTTTGCACTGGGTCAGAGATGAGCACATAAAGGACTCGTGTTCACAATCTCTCTTGCTTCTGCAAAACCTCAAATCTTCTCTAGCTTTCTGTATGGTGCCTGTCTCAGGAGTGCCTGTAGAGCCAAACACCTCATCTGGTGCAGGAGTATTTCAAACCTTTGCAGACCTGCATATTTGCCAGAATAGTTAAGCACTTGTCCTGTTTTCAGCTGGGATAGTTAATTTTCTTCCTAGTAGCAGATGCAAAATTAATATTCTTTGGGGCCATATAGGATTTAATAAATCTGACTGCCATAATCTGCACTTCACAATGAAGTTTCCTTATTACGACACAATCCTGCCATGCTGACATCTGCAGATGTTTTGACACAGCCATGAAAGCTGCAGTGGGACACTTCATGACAACTCATATTTCTGGCACAGAAGTGGTCTTCCACTGAGCTGCTTCCCCACAAAGAGCCCAGCAATCAGAAGAATATAATGCATGCTAGAAAGGTTTCCATTTTCCCAAAGAATCAAGGAAATTGTCGGCTTTAGTCATATTTATGATTCTTTTAAACTAGATTATTTGT